CGTCATTAAACATTTATTATGAATTGTTTTTATTATTTAGCAATTGGCGTTTGTTTAAAGTGTCTTAGTGGAGGCTTATTCCCCTCTTCTGCCCTGCACGCGTTCAGTCATGGTACCTTCCTTTTGGGTCATATTAAATAGGTTCTAAGGCCTGCAGTAAATATATATAATGGAGAAGGAAAAGTTACGAAGCAGTGTATCAAAATGCCTGGCGTGTTTGGAGCGCCATTGCGAAGCGATGTTTTGAATTTTGTTCATGATAACATGAGAAAAAATGCACGTCAACCATATGCAGTCAGTTCAAAGGCCGGACACCAGACGTCTGCTGAATCTTGGGGTACGGGTAGAGCAGTAGCGCGTATCCCCAGGGTCCGTGGTAGTGGTACCCACCGTTCTGGCCAGGGTGCATTTGGCAACATGTGCCGCGGAGGCCACATGTTTAACCCCACCACTACATGGCGCCGTTGGCATCGCCGGATTAACGTTCAGCAACGTCGGTATGCTATTTGTTCCGCTATTGCTGCTACTGGTGTACCCGCCCTTGTTATGGCTAGAGGGCATCGTGTTGATAAAATACCTGAGCTCCCTCTCGTTGTCGGTAAGGAAGTTGAGTCTCTTAAAAAGACTAAGGAGGCTGTCAAGTTTCTCAAAGCTATTAGGGCATGGCCTGATATTCAAAAGGTTTATAATTCACAGCGCTTCCGTGCTGGTAAAGGCAAAATGAGAAATCGTCGACGAATTCAAAAGCGTGGGCCTATTATAATCTACAAGCGTGATGGTGGTCTGACACGTGCCTTCAGAAACATTCCTGGAATAACTTTAATTCAAATAAGTAAACTAAATCTTCTCAAGCTTGCCCCTGGTGGCCATATGGGCCGCTTTGCTGTATGGACCGAGACTGCTTTCCGTAGGCTGGATAAGATTTATGGTAGCAAGAAACTCGCTAGTGTTGAAAAGAAGGGATTCCATCTCCCCATGCCGAAGATGATTGATACTGATCTAGCGAAAATTTTGCACAGCCGTGAGGTCATGTCTGTTACGCGTCCTCGTCGCATGGGTCGACAGCGTCCTGGTCCCAAAGTGAAGAAAAATCCTCTCAAGAACCTTCAGGTGGCTCTCCTTATTTTCTATCATTTTCCTCTTTTTATACTCTCTGGCTAACTATTCTCCCTTTTAGGTTATGTTGAAACTCAATCCTTTCGCACGCGGTGAGAAACATATGCGCTTGGCCAGACAGCGGGCTATGCTTAAGGCTAAATCCAAGGCCAAAGTTGGAGAAAAGAGGAAGGCCCCACCTTCAAAAGCTGAACCATCCAAGAAGCCGAGAAAAGAAAAAGCAGATAAGCCTGCTGTGAAATCTTAATTATTAAATAAATTACCCGGAATCTGCTTTTATCTTATTTATCCAGTTTGAAACCTGTCGTATC